GAATTCTTAATTGAAGACTGACAGTGTTTAGGTGCAGGTCAAGTCTCTCATTTAGGACCACACTACCTTTGTGTCCTCTATACTGACCTCTGCCTGCCCTCATTTCCCCAGGTGCACTGTGGGTGTGCGTGGTGCTTAACCCCCACTGTAAAAGTGAGGAGAAGAGCAGCTGGCTCAAGCAGCTGAAGAAGTGGGGGGACATGGACGTCTGCCCGCTGGAGGACGGCAACTACGGCAGCGAGCTTCCGAACATCACTAACGCTCTGCCGCAGAGCAACCTCGCACAGGGTGGGCACAGACACACACATGTACTTTGTGTTTAAAATATAAATGCAAACCAGAATTATTTTGATCTCGATGGGACAACTTGTCACGCTGACTGATCCTGTATGTTTTGTCTTTTAGACTCTGTGTCCAGGCCGAGGAGGACAGTGTTCAGCCGGGCCATCGAGGCCTGTGACCTTCACTGGCAGGACAGTCACCTCCAGAGGATCATCAGCAGCGACTACTACATGTCCCCATCCTACCAGAGAGAGGGGGAGAGCCTGCTGTTCAACCCACAGGGTCTGCCGCTCTGGCTCGGTAAAATCACAATTCATCTCCCATTTCCAGAAAAAAGTATTCGCTCTCTGCATTGACACTCTGTTATTCATTCATTTCATGCACACAAACACACACGCTTCCTTGGCAACCTGTGAGATTACGAAAACTTAATTTTCAGGAGGAATGAGTGTTCCTGTGGTACATCCATATACACACAATCTCTAATTCCACACACACACACACAAACACACACTCTAATTCTGCTGATATTGAGGCCAGTATCTGCAGTAAGCAGCTTCCAGCTAAGATCTGTCAGATTCTGCAACTTAAGCCAGCTATCAGACACGCACCGGCGTTCTGCTGAGCCCACAGTGTGTGTGGGTGTGTGAGAAAGTGTGTGTGTGTTTGTGCAATTACTTACTACATTCTATGTCCCACAGTGTGAGTGTTTCTTTGGTTATGAGTGAGAGAGGGAGTGAACAAAGTTTGGGGGAAAAAGCCCTTTTCTGATCTCTTCACGTTCATTTGTGTGTGTGTGTGTGTGTATCAGTATGAAGCTGTTCTGACTTCACCTATTATCACTGTCAACCACACAGACCATGTGCCAACAGCATGCGCTCGCGTCGATGCCTTGCGTTCCCACGGTTACTCCAGGGAAGCCCTGCGATTGGCTGTTGCTATCATCAACACACTTCGCCTCCAACAGCAGAGACAAATGGACATCTACAAACACCAAAAGAAAGGTATCACGCACACACAAACACAACATACACACACACACACCTATCGTGCTGTTTCTGGAGCGACAGTACCATGAGCACTCGTTTTACATGTATCTAACGTCTCCCCTCTCATCCTCTGTCAGAGCTCCTCCAGAGGGGTGTGACCTCCACCACCAACCTTGAAGGCTGGGTTGGTCATCCCTTAGACCCGATTGGCTGTCTGTTCATCACTCTCACAGAAACCTGCCGCGTGGATGACGACAACAGCATGGACACCGGAGGTACAAACATGATACTGTTTCTCCTTTTTAATTGAGTTTTTTACTCATATTGTGATTCATTAAGTAGCACTGAATACGTTTATGGGCGTTCTGCTGAGTGGATCCTGTGAAATCCCATTATCTCCGGAGCAGCAACAAACTCTATTTTCCTGTGTTTCTGAGTCATTCATGTGTTGAGTTTTCATGCATGGAAAGCAGTGTCTTGACTCTAGCACATAATTAAATATATTAAGATTCAAATCATTCATCCTCTGCGTGTACACAACATAATTGACGTGGTTCTAAGATACACTACTGTCCATTAAACCAATAAACACTTGAGTATGAACCTCAGCAAGATGCAGACTCAACCATGAAACTCCTCCCAGTCTCTTCACTCAACGATGTGTTGATCAAATAGCTCAATTTAAGAAACACAAGGTATAATAATTCCTGACACACTGACCCAGCTGGTGCAGAGGTGATGGGGTTCACCAGCAGTGACTCATTAGACCACACACCCAATGTTCTTACATATGGACCAGGCACCATTGTGCTGCACACAGCCATGAACTAGCAGAGCATGAATGGATTGAGCTGCAACACCCTGCTCATTTAAACCAGTGTGTGTGTGTGTGTGGTATGTATAGAATCCATCACCATTTGCATTTCTCACCCTGCCCAGGGCCTTTTTTGCACCAGTGGCCATTGCCACAAAGCAGAATAGGGGCTGGGTTTTCCCATTGTCACCAGGCTAAAGGGAACCATTGTCAGTTCAAACAATACAACGACCACTGGCACACTCATTTGTGTGTGTGTGTAGTGTGTGTGTGTATTGTACTAGTGTGTGTTCTTAAGACAGAGTGAATGATTGTCTTTTGTTGTTTTAGGAATTTGAGGAGAGTGGTATGATTATTTTGTGTGTGTGTGTGGTGGTGGGGTTGCGTTATTTCCTCCCCGAAGGCAGCTGGGAACGTCCATCAACATGGGGGGTGGAACCAGCTACATGTTAGCCAATCTAAAAGCACTTTTCTGATCTTTTCAAATCAACCAATCAACAGTTGAAATGGGACCAAAACAGATTTTATGCTGGGGTTTAGTCTGTGAAACCAGTTTACACTTTTTCCTAGATTTCTACAGACACACACACACACACACACACACACACACACACACTGACATAGTACATTCCCCTTAAATCCGTGGAATAAACAGGATTGAGGGGATCTGTTGCTCAGAGGGGATTTAAGCAGACTGATGAGGTGGGGGAGAGACGGACACAAATGTGCACCAATCAGCAGCTGAGCATCTGTTCTTACTTGAACAGCATTGGTGCAGGGTTGGCAGCCATATTATGATTTGTGAACACAGTCCACTATGTATCCAACATTATATACAGCTTTAATCACTCCAAATTAGATAGACCCTGGCTGAACCAAGAACCTTCTGGCTGTGACAGTGCTCAGCACTGTAACACCATACCGCCTCGGTCAAACAACAATGCGACAAAAAACCTTGTAGAAGCTTGTGTGTCATATTTTGACTAAAAAGTTTGAAAGGCCAGGAAACATTATCCAGCAGATCCCATTGTAATCATTTTTGAACAAAGAAGACTGGAAGCTTCTGGGAGAGACCTTTTTATTTTTAATTTTTTCTTCAGATTCATTCCCTCATGCTCCTTCACAACACCAGTATTATGGAGAAAAAAAGCTGGGTGTAGTGTGTCTGCAGCTCTTTCTGGGCTAGTTCGTGTCAGTCAGATGTGACAAAACTGATGCAGTGGAGCTGGTGAGGGATCGATTCACTGTTTGTATTGACAGGGGTAATAATTGCAGTGACCCGTAACTCTCTCAGTGTACAGTGATTAGCCAAACATGATGACCACCCCTGCCTGATGCACATTTTGGTGCATTGCGTGCTGCCAACGGCTTCAACTCACCAACACATGAACAGAGTCACTCCCTGTGCCACTAATGTTGCTTACAATAATTACCTCACTGACTGAAGGAGAATAAATCTGCCGCACAATGTACATTGTAACTAACTTTATTCGTTCTTTCTTTTGTTACTTTGTTTCCACCTTCAGAGGGAGAACCCAGACCTCCAGTCTACCACCATGTGCCGGTGTGGGGTAGTCCTGATGGTGGGGAGTCGTACCTGACTCTGGCTTTAGAGGTGGCTCTCATGGGTATGGGCCAGCAGAGGATCATGCCTGAGGGCCTTTATGCTCAGGATAAGGTATTTCTGAACCACATACTGTCACATGATGATCTGTAGTAATAATGTAGTTGTGAACTATCTAATTTTATTTGCCTGAAAGAGAATATAGTAAAGTCAGGCTGTTTGTCAGTGGGTAACACAAGCCGCACCCTGTGGGCAAAATCCGGAGAATTAGCTTTGGAGTTTACCCAGAGTTTGCCTTTCACACATGCACAACGCAATGGGGGGGGGTTTCTGTACAGACGCATTCACACCAGCAGCAAATTCCCTTGAAGAGGTGGAGCAGCCATCTTTTTCACCCAGAGATATTTGTTTAGTTTTTTCATTTGTACATCTGTTGCGCGTTAGAAGCACCATCTACCCCCCAACTCGCTTGCGGTGAATCCAGCGTGGGATCCCCTGTTGTGTTGACACATTGAACTCTCCTGGATTTTTATACAGACATTATACCAGGAAGTCAGGTGGAGAAAGTCTGCAGAGACTGCGGAGCGTCTCACTCGGACATTTGCGTTCACACCTGCACCTCCTCAGAGACAATATGGAGGCACTGCAGAGTTCGTGTCTGAAAGCAGCTGACTTTGTTCTTTGCAGACAACAGCAATCACTGTTATTCTACATCTATGTCTTTGTGTAACACCTTCACTGCAAAAAGAGACAGAAGGTCACGTCATTTTGTTCCCAATAAACAGAAAGCCACAGTACTTCATTTCAGAATCTAAGCAGTATTTCATTGTGTGAGTGGTAATCTCCTTTAAAGTGCTTAACACAGCTGCCACAGACCTTAATGTCATGAGAGTCAACAAACACACTAATGTTTTACACAAGAATTACATTTACACCCAATTAAATCAGTGAAAGGACTTTTTACCAGATCACTGAAATAAAATCAGTTTCTGTTGTTTACTGTAACAATAGAGAAGCGCTGATGCAAGAGTTTGAGGTGAAGTGCTGCAAGTCCTGTAATTCCTCAATCTTAAAATCCCTTCTTAAAGGGTATTTAAAGTTTATTTTTGTTAAATCAGCTTGGTTCTATTGTACCTAGATTATGTGAATAATTCTAACATGATTCAATGACATTACTGATTTGAAATTAATCTAAGTGCATTGGAAACAGTAGGACGTCACTAACAGTGACTGTTTAATTTAATGTTTGTGTTGTGAATGTGTTGAAGGTTTGTCGTAACGAGGAGCAGATCGTTGCAAAACTTCAAGAGCTGGAGCTAGATGAGCTCCTGGTTCAGACTCTTCGGAAACAGGCCATACAGCTACTAGATGGTACGAAACAACAACACTTGCAATGCAAAATTTCATAAGGGATATTCACAAATTTCTTTTGGTGGACATGAAATCATTCATTTATGTTGTGTTCTATCTTCGTTTACTGTGTCCTAATAACATCTATCCTGAAGTTTACACCTTTGCAGAAAAAGTGTTACTGTAATATAAATGCCAGGATTATTCATATTGACCCAGTATTTGCAGAGATATACTCAGGTGCCTCGGAAAAGGCCAGATTTAAAGAGGCTAAAGCATCTAGGATACTGTTTTCTACTGATTTCTCTCAAGATTCTTATCTCATATTCATTTTTTCAGTTAATGAATCTGACCACCTTTAAAAATGAACCCTTATTTTGTTTTTCTCCTGGTGTAGCTGGTCCCTTCAGCGGTCTAGGGGAAGTCATCCACAGGGAGAGTGTTCCCATGCACACCTTCGCCAAGTACCTCTTCTCTGCCCTGCTGCCACATGATGCTGACCTGGCGTATAAGGTGGCTCTCCGTGCAATGAGGTCAGTCTCAATTCACGCTCAATTTATTATTAACAAGGATTCCAGGTCTTTATCGTCACCTTACTCGGTACAATGAAATTGTAAGAGGCTTCTCTCTCCAAGATATTATTTATACATATAACACACTTATATCTATCTATACATGCAGTTAGATATGTCGTTGATGTTAAATAAATGTTAGCTTGGTCACAACAAATGGTAGGCTTTATGTTTTGATGTTGGATACATATTCAAATGAATATGTTATTTCTTTTTAAATTATTGCCAGAACCTAAATTTCCTCTACACTGGAATTAAACTTAAACTTGTTTTTTGTAACAGTGACTCTGAACCATAAGTTAATCGACCCGATTATCTTTCCCACAACTATATGCTTCTATGCTACACGTAGCAAAAGCTCCAATTACTGACCTCTTACCTTTGTTCAGATTTTCTGTTTTACTTTATGGTAATTTCTGCAGCTGCAGTTTGCACTGCTGCCGAATTGCACTTTTCACAATAGCAGATGTTTTTAATTATTTATCCACCCTCATGAACTTTCATGCAGATGGGATTTATTGTAGCGTTGTAGCATCAGGCTGCATGAATTTCTTGCACAGAATTATCAATGTGCACCTGAGTGTTAAGAGCCACTACAGGCGGCCATCCATTGTGGTGGTGGTCTCATTTATTTCAGCCAGCCTATTTACCAGTAAGTCCAAGTACTATGATCTATCATGATAGCATTTTGCATTCTTGCTTGAGTCAGATGGGAATACTGTTCCCGTCTTTATCATAATCCAACCAGCTGCTGGCTCCAGTTTCATATTTACTGAACAGAAAACTGATCTTTCATGTAACTGTTCAGTGAGAAAGGGAAGAAGAGTATTTTTTAAATTATTTTGTTTTGATATAGAATGAATTCACTTTCACCAATATTCAGATTTTATATCATCTTAGATGTAAGTACAGAGAGTGAGAACTGTAAATATACACAGCTGTGTGGATTTATGTGGCATCTTCTTTCTTCTTTGGATCTAACTGTAATAAAATAATTTGACTTAAAATTTTATATTGGATTTTCTTAGGAAAACAAACCTCTTTAACATCATTCTTGTTGTCTGCGTACCGGTTATACTGTACAACCTGACTAGTAATTGTAGCCATTAGCCAGTAATTTTTTTCCTGTTTTCTTTCTATAAACTGTTGTTTGTGTAAAACGAGCCACCAATGAACTGCTGCCTCAGTGTGTGCACAATGATACAGATACCAGCACATAAACGCTGAGCCTGTGGTCGGAGCTGCATAGTTAGCTGGAGAGGGAGACAGACATGAGGGAGATGGCGGCCACACAGAGCCGGAGTGGGCTGCAAACAGCCGGCTCCACTGGGCTAACCAATAAAACACAGCAATATCTTTCTCTAACCCTCACACACACTGTTTTTCTCTGATGTTTCATTGTTTCACATTGAGCCACCGGTTCATGTAGTTCTCCCCATGTTCGCTCCGTCATTGACCAAAGGTGTGTTAAAAACTGTTGTTGTGTGTTTCTGTCAGGCTGCCGGTGTTAGAGTCATCAGGAGGCTCCGGGGACGTGGGCCACCCTCACCATGGCATCTCCATAGTTCCAAGTAGATACCCTCGCTGGTTCACACTGGGACACCTGGAGTCACAGCAGTGTGAGCTGGCCTCCACCATGCTCACCGCTGCTAAAGGTACCATCAACACATCCACAGTTTCATAGCCCCTCCTCATATGTTCTTTCACTAACATTGTTCTTGGTAATGATTGATTTGTGTATCAAGGTATCAGTTTCCATTTTCCTTTGCCTGCAGGTGACATGTTGAGGTTGCGGACAGTGCTGGAGGCCATCCAGAAAAACATCCACTCCTCTTCCTTAATCTTCAAACTCGCCCAGGATGCTTTTAAGATCGCGACACCTGCAGACAACCCGCCTGATATAACCTTACTCAACGTAGCACTGGAGCTCGGCCTGCAGGTACAGTGCTGGTCACACGTCTAAATAGGGAGCAGTTTTCTTGAACTTGTCATTTCTGCAGTTCTCTGCAGCCTCACTACAAATTAACAGAGAACATTTCACACAGCGTCTTACTATTGTTGCTGTGAAGAAACCACATAATTGAGCCTTTTGTGGCAAACACATTGAGCGCAGAAACTGAGCAGCAGTGTTTCTGTGGCCTCACCTGCCTCTTATTCTTTAAACCGAATTTCTGTCCACAATAAGCCATCAGTGTACTTATGAATATACTTTAGATACATCTGTCCTAACTGGAGTGTGGTTTGCTAAGCCCTTTTTTAAATATTTAATCAAGCTGAGCTAGTGAACATTTGCAAAGCTGCCTTGATAATCCTATAAGTTTCTGATGAAACAGCATCCGAACCAGAAAACATCATCATCTCCTCGTGTTTGTTTACAGGTGATGAGGATGACTCTGTCCACACTGAACTGGAGAAGGAGAGAGATGGTTCGCTGGCTGGTAACCTGCGCCACTGAAGTCGGTATGTGAAGCCTTATGATAATGAGACTTATGCAATAAGTTCACCCTCCGTAGTGTTTTAATGTTTTCCACTCATCTAAGATTTGTACTGTAGTTCAGTGATGCAATGGCACCCAGGGGTGAATCCAGGAGCGGTGCCAGGGAGGCACTGGCCCCAGCTGAAATCTGATTGGCCCCTGGAGTGCCCCTGTCCTGTCAGTAGTCTCTTGTTGGCATAAACTAGTCACACAGTAACAATTCTGCCAATAAATATAGTCATAGTAACAATACAATTTGCTTAGGTCTTTTGATAACTTTAATTTAATTTTCAAATAAATAGTTTATGATGTGTGGCTTTGCTTAAAGCTATAGAGCTAAAAGTAAACAAGGAATGACTTGTATATGGGCTTTATTGAATGAGGAATTGTTCATGGATATTGTGTTGTATAAATTATGGCCCCTGATTAACAAAAATCCTCGATCCAACACTACTGGCACAGTAGGGGCTTTAGTACTTAAAGCTATCTTGTCATGTAATCACATTAACAGTGTTCAGAGCTTTTAGTAAAATTACTTAAAATCTTGCCCTTGTGCTTTTCTTTTGAAGTTTGAACGTACGATGTGACTGAAGTCGACATGTACTAAATTCAGTTGATCTGTCCAGTGAGTTGTCTCCAGAGCTCAGAGACAGGATTGTGTAGCGGTACACATCTGTGGAAGTCTCCAAAAAACCTACCACATTGAAGGTTTTCAAGAACCACAATGACTACCATCATTCTAAAGAAGAAGAAGTTTAAGAATGACTCTAGCTAGAGCTAGAACAAATCAGTAGAGAAGGGTCATGGTTACAAAGGTGACCAAGAACCCAGTGATCAGTCCAAAGAAGATTGGAGAAATTCTATGTATCATGGTCAGGGCTCCAACTGGCAACAAACTTAGAATTCAAGTCAAGCAGTTAAATCTTAGATTGATCAGAAGAGAGAATCTTATTTCTCACAGTCTTAGTCCTGTAGTTCCTCCATATGTCTCTGACTGAAGAGAGGCTTCTGCCTGGTAGCCTCTATCACACAATTTACATTCTTCAATAAATGTTCAATCTTTCTTCTTCCTCAGGTCTGCGGGCGTTGGTCAGCATTTTACAGAGCTGGTACACTCTCTTCACACCGACCGAGGCCACCAGCATTGTGGCAGCCACCGTCATGTCGCACAACACCATCCTGCGCCTCAGCCTCGACTACCCCCAACGCGAGGAGCTGGCCAGCTGTGCGAGGACCCTGGCCCTGCAGTGCGCCATGAAGGACCCCCAGAACTGCGCTCTTTCAGCTCTGACACTTTGCGAGAAGGACCACATCGCCTTTGAGACGGCCTACCAGATCGTGATTGACGCAGCCTCCACGGGAATGACGTACTCCCAGCTCTTTACCATTGCAAGGTATATGGAGCACAGAGGATATCCTCTGCGATCGTTCAAATTGGCTTCCCTTGCCATGACCCATCTTAACCTGGCGTACAACCAGGACACACACCCAGCTATTAATGATGTGCTCTGGGCCTGCGCACTTAGCCACTCTTTGGGTAAAAATGAGCTTGCAGCCATTATTCCCCTGGTGGTGAAGAGTGTGCATTGCGCCACTGTGCTGTCTGACATCCTGAGACGGTGCACCATGACAGCGCCGGGCCTTGCAGGCATCCCTGGGAGAAGGAACTCTGGGAAGCTGATGTCAACAGACAAGGCACCATTGCGGCAGCTCCTAGATGCCACAATCTCGGCTTACATCAACACCACGCACTCTCGACTGACGCACATCAGTCCGCGGCACTATGGAGAGTTTATAGAGTTCCTGAGCAAAGCTAGGGAGACTTTCCTGCTGGCACAGGATGGCCACATTCAGTTTGCCCAGTTCATAGACAACCTGAAACAGATCTACAAGGGCAAGAAGAAACTGATGATGTTGGTCAGGGAGCGTTTCGGCTGACCTCATTCCTCCCTCACGGGGATGCTCTCCCTGGGAAGAAGTTGAACGTGTTTGTTTCTATTTAAGTTTTTTAGATTCTTTGTATTTTTTACTTATGTTGAGCCATTTGTTGACTAAGTCATAAGTTTTTGTCCCTGTTTTGTTGCTTTGTTTCTTGAATGTGAACCAGGAAGTGTTTGCAGTACATTGCTCTACTTCATTGAGACTGCAAATGGCTTGAAATGTCAAAGAAAGACCAACAAAAACAAAGCATTTTACCCACCAACTAATGTTGAATCGATGATAAAAAAAACGTCAAAGATTGTGATGACAAATAAACTAAAAGAACTTTGTTTTTCAGTGGCACATGACGATATGAAAAACCAAATGATTTTGTTGGATGGGGTACATGCTTTGAGCCATAAGACGCTTTCATCTGCGCTTAAGAAGAAGTGATTTTAAAAGTGGAAGAGATATGTCATTCCAAGCAAAAAGAGCCACTGAGGTGGAAAACACACATAGTGTTGCTGTCATACCTCGACTGTATTATTGGTCAGCTTTAACTTCTCTTATCAGAAATGGCCTCTTGTTCCATTCAGGGCATCTTAGAGTAGAGAGGACAGAATACAGAACTGCACACGTGTGGTCTCTCTGTAGACGAAGTCAACACCAACAGGTTTAAAGCCACTCTAGACTAGCTCCTATCCTCTACCCCTGCTGGTCAGCGCTTTTCATTATCGATATCTCCAGAGGGAGAACCATGTTGCTTCAGAGGAAGCATGTTCCCAAATCCAGCAGCCTTAGAGCGACATTATTCAGCCTGTTCTCGCTAAGGTAGAGTAGTAGAGGTTCCACATGCACATTTATTTACAGTATCTTTCTTATATCCTCCTATAAGATCATTGAAAGTGACAAAAATACAACCTGATGAACAGTGGGGTCACAGGAAGCCCATCTCTAGAGATACCACTGCACTGCTCTTTATAGCTATTTGTGGCCAAAACCTTTTAAATCTGTACAACTCCATCGATGACTTCTCACATGCTAGATGAAGATTTAGTCATAAGCAATAGTAGTCGAGTCTTCTTACATTTTTATCATCTAGTGGCATTGATTTCTTGTATTCTGTTAAGAAGCCTGTTGACTTCAGTGACTCTTGGGGATTGACTCTGTCTGTAACTAAAGTCCTTTTTCCATTTCCAGAACTTCAGTAGGAACTCAGGAGGCCTTTTTTGTTCCACACAACTTGATATAGGAACCTAAAAACATTAGCGCACAGTTCCAACCCACAGCCCGTCAAACATTCAAATTTAAGCCAGCATGATCTGCATTTGAAATAAATAATAAAACTATGACATAACAAGGTAGACATTCTACCTGCTAGGTCTAGTCAGATGAAGAAAATTACTTTCATCCAGAGGGGAAAAGCCATCTAATGTTTCCATGAATTTATATATATATATATTTATATATTAGAACCAAGTTTAAACCACTGATAAGGCTCACTTGTTAATATTTTTGTGATAGCAATCGAACAAATAATTGAAATGTGATAGAAAACCCAAACTATGCTCTTTCCCTCCCCTCGACTCTATTAACCATCATGTTAGGATCAGCAAAGTAAGTGTTCGCTAGAGCAACTGTAGAAATCAGTTTTGGTGGTTAAGGCACGATATACTTGTGCAAAAAAAAAAAAACACAATTAGTCAATATTTGTTCATGAGTGGGAACTGAAGAAACTGCACTTCCCATTCCCAGTATGGCTGATATACTAATAGCAAAATGACCATGCTAAGGAAAAACTTTTTGTGGTTTCAAATCCATGTTATTGCCGAACCTCTAAGTTCCTACAGATTTTAGATCTTTATGGAAAAGGGTCTATAGTTACTAACGCTACTTTGCTGTGTATGCTACTGGTTGTGCTTATTCCGGACTGTGAAAATGAGTGGCCATGTCAGAAACAGTGCACATACAAAAAAATACTGTATATTTTATGTCTTGATGACGTAAGCGTACATATTTGAGACAAGATGCCTCGGCACAGGAAGTTGTTTGTCTTATCGGGGGCCGTATAGGTCCCCTTTCTTTTCTAACCAAGTGGCATAGTGTTGTTAATGGCAGTGTAGAGTACAGCAAGCGCTTGAACTGGTCTTCGTACTAGCACTTCACACAAATACCTCTTCAGTACGTTCCTGCCTGCTTCAGCATTTATTTATTGATTGTTTTGCAACTTTGTGTGACTGAGTCGGAATCGCATACAAAAAAACAGAACTGGACTTAAAAAGGAGTAAAAAAGTCACAACAGACGAGTCGGCCTGTCGACGGCAGGAGGATAAAAAGAATAAGGTTTTTGAATGGAGGAACATTTTCTTGTCTGCTTTTACATTCCATGAGAGCTACCTTCACCCGCTACCCAGGTAGTCAGTCACAGCTCTGGGTCTTTTATTGTTTTTTAAATCTGAAGAAATGCAGATAGAAGAATGAGGAAGATGAAAAAAAGGAAAATTGAGCAAAGGAAAGAAAAGTAAAGAGAGGCTAAACTCAGTTCTCAGGGACATCACTTAAAGAAACAAAACAAAAAGTAGTAGCATTAAGCATTTAAGATATTGTAAATATTAAAGTGTCAATTCAGAAAATTGTAAAGTTATAATTATTTATGATAAGTATGTTATGTGTTTGGTCTTTTTCTTTATTTTTACGTTCCTTTCGGCGAGGGTGTACTTGAATAGTTTTGGACCGGGTGAATTTGATGGCGTTTTTTTGTAAGAGCAAAGACTTCAAGGCATTTCTCAGGTGCTCCTGTGTACATTTCTTTCAGTTTGTTTGGTTTTTTTGCTATAATAATTATTGTTTGTGTTTTTTTAATTTTTTAGATTTGCAAAGAAATAAAAAAAAAAATCTGTTTTCCAAAAGGAGGCATGTTATTGGGGAGTTGAAGAAAATGAGCAAGGCATTCATTTGTAAACAGATACGTTTTAAACCTGACTATGCAGAACCACTTCGTTGGTCTTGTCACCTCTTAAAGACGCCCCCCGGAAAACCTGCCCCGGCAAAGAGGACGAGACGGTGTTGGGGGGGAGGGCGGACAAGGACAAGACCCAGCATGCTTGTATTTGGACAGTGCGCACTAGCCAGCCTGCACTCACTGCAACATTTAGAGAGAAAAAAGAAAAAAGGTGGAAAATGCCTTTCTGACTGATCAATGTACAAAGATTATTTTTGCTTATCTTCTTTGTTGGTTTTTATTTAATCAGGACTCAAGCCTTTAGTGTCTTCTCAGCTGCAGTGTGGCAGCACCGCAGTGAGACAGAACATAAATACACAAGAGTCACAAACAGCAACTGTATGAACAATAGCGATGGCCTGTGAATGAACATGTGTTCATTCCTCATTACCTGAATTTGTTTTCTCTTATTATTGCTTTCTTGACTCCCTTCAGCATAAAAACTGATTTCATCTTCTCTAACTCTACTTTTGTCACCTTCTATCTTTGTCTAGTTTTCCTCAGTTCATCACCCTGTTCACTCTCTCACAGTAAGGGTTTTGGTTCCATGGCGATGCGACGACGTGAACAGTTTTCACTGCAGCCACTTCCTCTGTTGTCCGAGAGCTCTTGAGACATCGGTGCTCTGCAGCAGCCTCGTGTTTTCACAAATACACTTCACGGGTTTCATCTTTTGTTGCTGCGAAATTGATTGATTTCTTGGCTACGACATTGGTATGACAAGAATGTTTCCTTAAATCATACGTGAAAGGATTTTATTATTTTTTTAGCTGTTGCTTTACCTGGAAGTGCATAAACCTACAGCATTAGAACTGATTCCTCTCTGTGTTCACTGTATCAGCCTCTTTCTTTCTCTCCTTCTTTCTCTCTTTTTCTCTTTCTTTCTGTCTTGCTCTCATTCTTGTGGGGAGTACTATCTGCTCGTAGAGATCTAGTTCACCGTCTGTTTGGTTTTGTTTTTTGGATTTTTGTAACTTAAGGGAAAATGGAAAGTGTTTGTTGCCTCTTTGTGCTACTGATTATGAAAAAGGTATTTCCAGTATTTGTTGCCACAGAAGTATGATAGCTTATCATCGACACCGTTTTTTGATTTATTTTTGAATTTGTAATTTCTTTGTGCGACTTCTTGAGCTACTGTCTATAAAGCGAGAATTTATTACTATTTATGTAACGCTACTACCATTTTATATTGATTTGTGTTGGAATCTCAGTGCTTTTCTATGAATAAAGTGTGAAACACATTAGAGGGACTTCTTCATATCTATGTTGGACCAAGATGCAGGTTCTCATTCTCTCTCTCTGTCTTCTTGTCTCTCTAAGTTTAGAGTAAGTCTCCATGAAATCAATGTAAGTCAGTGTAATGTCCTCTTAAGTTGTGTGTGTTGATGTGTGTGTGTGTGTGTGTGTTTTTGTGTGAGAGAGCGAGATCTGGGACCTCCAAATAGAAAAGCAAATTTACTAAGTGCATGTACATTTACTTATAAGCTGTATATTTTACCTCTAACTTTTTTGTACTCTAGTATCTACACACACACATGTATATATATAATCAAATTCAAATCAATGCTTAGACCTAATCCAGTCCATTTCACAGTGTCAGCAAAAAGCCTTACCTTTACCCACAATTCATTACCAATACAATATGCTCCCACACATCGCTCGGCACAGAGAGCTACTCTAGCTTTTTATTCTTCTTAAGCAAAGACAGTAACAAGCTAACTTGTAGATGTGGTTTTATATATCATTGAAAGCATGTTCGGTTCACATTTACAATGTTACAGAGGCAGTACTTCAGTGTGGTGGTCAGTATACCTGTTGAGAGGTTAAAGGGGTAGTTCACGAAACACTTATGGAGTTTCAGGGGTAAACAGTGTTGCAGCCAAATCCAAAACAATTAAAGTAACTGGGGTATCACTGCTTCAAACAGAAAAAACATCTAACATTTCCTCATTCCACTCCTCTGGTGTCATCCAAGTGTCTGTAGGCCACGACATTAATATTCCACTCGAAGTGGTGTCATTTACACCATGTTTTAGCCTCAATGTCCTCTACCGGAAGTTGCGATGCTAACATGGTGTGTGCTGTGTTTCCGATGTGTGCCTGCAAACGTGCACGTGGCTCCAGAGGAGGATATCAGAGGACATTTAGGTTTAAAATATGGTGCAAATAATCTCATTTCAAGTTGAATTTGAATGTCAGGGCAGTGCATGGTGTCATTAACATTCGTTTCAGCTTGACTAGCTACAATTATAAAATGTTTATATGTTTCTGGTTTATTACAATTTAGTTCTTATCAAAGTGTTTACTGCCCATTGTAATGATGCTCCTATCTGCAATAATAACGGAATACAGTGGCATCACACAGACCAAATATTAGAGACACGGTCAGCTGTCAGTTTTTAAACACCTCCTCAGATTTCTGACCAGTAAACTGTTCTTCATAAACAACTTTGACTGACTTGCCATGTGCACGCAGTTCAATGAGAAATACCTATGTTTACTTCATGGTTTACCTCTACAGTAGTTGATTTAAATGATATGAATAACAGTCTTGTTTGCTGCCTGTCTGATCACCAGTCCGCTCGTGTTTGTGGTCTGACGCCTCAAAACCAGCCTCTGATTCTCCCACACAACCACACACACATAAATGATGTCACAGAGATGTCTGTGTCCCAGCTGGTGCGGCACAATCCCACGTTTCTCGCCCAGCATCAGTGATAAATGAAGCACGTGGAGGCAGATACAGGTCCCATCAATCTCTCACTCATTCATCTTTAATCTGAATATTTCTCTTCTCTTCCTCCTTCACTGCTTCATTCTCTGGATTCTGCAAAGCCACATGACCGAGACAATCAGACCATCAGTGTGGTCGTGACTCAGTTTGTGTGTGTGTGTGTGTGTGTGTGTGTGTGTGAGAGAGAGAGACAGTGAGAGAGTGTGTGTAAATCTAGATTGATTGGCTGATGGTAAATGAGCAGATTTATATTAATTATCCAGACAGATGGATTGCTGTATGCCCAATCTTTTTCTCCTCAGTTTGCTCTATGTTCTCCAATCTGTCTCTCTCTCTCTCTCTTTCAAACACACACATACACACACACACAAATACACATAGAGAGTAATGGATAGACATTTGGTGTAACACAAACAAAGTGAATTGTTAGAGTGTTGTTTTTCATAGATAGATCAGCTTCAACCTGAACGACTTGGGAGTGGAACTCCTCCTTTAAAAGCTCCTGCGTCAGGATGCCAGGCCTCCACTGTGGGGACTGCTGCTGTTACTGCTCCCCTGTCTGGCAATTTTTACTTTGTGTTTTAATGTGAATAAATCCCCTGGTTTGGGATCTGGGTGTGAAATTACCCGAACAGTGTAAACATGCATTAGTGTATGTGACTGTTTACTAAGAATAGAACCAAGGACGGGATCAACTTTATGAATATAAGGTGCAGAAAACAAGCAGCCAGTTTGCTGACCTGTCTCACACATTAACCACTGCCTTCATAGGTTTGAATCCTGACAAACTGAACCATCACTGGACTCAACTGCCCACATGTGTCTCAGTCCACCATGGCTACACCTGCTTCTCATCCCCTCATCATGGGCTGCAGTATATGAACCAGTCAGCTCATGTGGAAGTAGCTACTCAGCATTCATGATTGTTGGTTCCAGTGCTCTTGCCCTCTTGTATAAGATCCACATGTGTTTGGACTTTACTAACACCAGGGCTGCTGCCACAGTCCAAAAAGTCTCCTTTCATGAAAACACTATTCCTTGAGCCTCATGGAAAATGTTACAAGGTCAAGGATGTGAAGGAAAGTCTGTGAGGAGCTGTGGGAGAAAATCCATTTCCATTTCCATTGTTTTCATAATCTACTTTATTTACAACAGGAGATACACACAGACGGTCCAGTGATGAACTCTGTGCTGTGCATCTACAGTTATTGTCACGGTCACTGGTGCTGGCAAGGGAGAACCCAAAAGCACGACGATAGGCAGGCAAGTTGCAAGGGAAGATCCGTTTATTCAGTCCAAGAAACAGGCAGAGTCAAAAGCAGGAAATCAAAATCAGGCAAACAAATCTGTCAAGGGACAGACAGGTATCCAAAGTACAAGAAGGCAAAACAGGGTCAGAACAAGAAGGCAAAAGTGTAAATACTGGAGAGCTTCGCAAAATACAACACAAGACAATCTGGCAGGGATCAAGTGAGAATGACTGGAATATATACTGAGGAACTGATGAGCCAATGGACTGCAGGTGAGGAGGTGGGCGGGGAAAACCAGGTGAGGGAAATGAGATGATTGCATGGCAGAGAAGAAAGGGAGGCTCTGAAATGAGGGGAGAGATAGTGATGAGACATGGAACCAAGAGAAAAAGAAAAACAAACTAAGAGTTAGAGTAACTACGTTACAGTTATTGTAAAGTTTCCTGTCCAAAACAGAGGGATACGTCCTGAGAAAATGTTTTCAGTTCAAGAGGAAACATTTAACCATCAGTTACTCACAGGAAGAAACTACAAAATAGATTTAATTTAAAATAATGACAAAAACAAGATGAGTGAAATGTTGCAAAAGTATAAAAAAGCTGATATAAGTGGAGAAAATATTTTTTTGTTTTTTGGGATTGAATGAAGAAGAACGTCCAATGTCAGCAGGTGATTTTAACATCATTTATTATTCCAAGTGTGATCTCACTGCACAAAAGATGCAGGTTTTCTCCAGTCTGTCGTACAGGCTCAGATCTGTTCTGGTGTCTGTTTGACATAGAACCTGATACATTCCATTGTAACGTACTTGGGACGACTCCAGTGGACTCTGAACCAGCAGTGCTGTGACACAGCGTTGGACTGTGACTGTGTGACCCAACCCGCCTGCTTAAACAGACTTACCTCACGATGACCCACTGTGGAGACACCGTCACCACATGCCAAAACGCCACACAGCGCCTCAACTCCATCCTCATCCGTTGCCTTTTACCTCTGCCAGGTTCACAATATATTTTTTAATAATTGGACCTCGCCAAACCTTTCCTCTGGGTTCACATTTAAGACCAAATCACGACAACATGTTGATCAAATAACAGCCAGCAGCCCTCGGACAATGCTATTGTGAGTTCTTTGGGTGCAGCATGGGTCAGTTCAGATGAATGGGGGTAAATTATTCTGTGAAACAGAAACAGATGCAGTAGTAAGATGTCTGAGTGGACTACCGTATGTGAGACAGCACTTTTCACCACATGTATCAATCTAAATAAATCAATTTAGCCATGATAAATCTTTAATGTATTGAATTCTAAAACAGCCCCTTGTTCCCTAAACACTCAAATGAAATTATACTCAGCAGATCAGGAAGCAGGAGGCAGGAAGCTGCTGTTGCAGTGATGCATCATGGGCCTGTAGCGTGTTCAAGCATTAACTCCAAAACCCAGGGTCTTTTCCCCAGCTGTTACCAGCAATCTGTGCTTGTCTTCTTATGAACCATAAATATGAATGATACTGACTTCTCCAGCCTTCCTCTACTGAATAGAAAAAACATTTTCTTTTACCCAGCATTCCAAGGTAACGCAGATGAATACGGCGTTACGATGCAGGAAGTTACCTCTTGCGGGCGAAATCGACGCAAAGGCTGAATAACAGAGGTATCATCATCAACAAAGAGGGGCAGTCACAGCTGTCAGCATCTGCATTAGTGTGAAGCTTCTCAAGGTCTTCAGACTAAAGCCAGAGTCTCCGTCTGTCCCTCTGCCTCCGCCACCATAATAGAGCCTATCAGTCTCTGTCACAGTGGGCTGTGTGTGAATGTGTGTGTTCATTCATTTCATGCATGTGTTCATTGAGAGATATGTGTGTGTCTGTGTGTGTGTGCGTGTGTGGGTGTGTTTGTGTTTTTGGGGGGTGGGCCCTGATAAAGCGCTGATAGTGTCCATCCATGGCAGATGATGTACAGCCTGCTGTCTCTGCAGGCAGATTGGATTTTCAGGCCTGCTGATTTGCTGAGAGATGGAGCCTGGACCTCCTTCAAACACACACACACACACACACACACACACACACACACACATAAACCCAATCACTGTGCACATAAAAGCCTAAACACAAAAACATACAAACACACACTTATATATTATTCTCCTGCCAAAGCCTTTTAAAAAGACCATGAGGAAATTGATCTCCATTTCTAAAGAGCACAGATTCATTGTTACAACCTTCTCTCTCTCTCTCTCTCTCTCTCTCTCTCTCTCTACACACACACAAAGGCCCATCACTTTGTTCCCAGATGGCCCACTGACACACAGTCCCAGCCTCCTCAGTCTTACCTGTCGGCAATCAGCGGTGATTTTTGTTCTTTTGTCTTCACTATTTACACAATAGGGGGTCGACAACAAAAGCCCTGTGTGTGTGTGTGTGTGTGTGTGTGTGTGTGTGTGTGTGTGTGTGTGTGTGTGTATTTATGGCACCGCAGCAGCACAAAGAACAGAGATGGATGAAGGGTCGCTTTCATTTCAGCAAGAACTGCTTTCTTCCCGTCATCAACATTAATTTAGCTGCTTTGAGCTTTGAGAACTGTTGTATTTATTAACGGCGCTGACGACCACTTGCTGCTGTACAGCCTCAATCATTCAGAGGCTCCAGCTCAAACATTTCATCTCCACCTCCCATTTGAAAGTGAAGTGTGTTGAGCAGGAAAATCAATAAAGGATCTGCAGCCTTCAGCCCATGTGGAATCTCACTGCTCACCTGTAATCCTGAGCCTCCCCAGTGTGCACGGTTAACGATGTGAGACAAAATGTTGCCGTTTGTCACTGAATCCCTGAAAAGAGCAAAACTGTCAATGAATTGATTCTATAATAACAAGTGTGAATGTGTGTGTCTGACTGCTGCCGTCTATGTTTCCCATGAGTCCATCACATGTAATATAGTGTGTGTGTGTGTGGGATGCACACTGTTGCACTGGGTGACATTTTTCTTCATTATCATGACCACACATTGTATTTTATTCTGACTTAATCTTTCATACACCTGTTGTCAATACTGAGAAAACTCAACGAGTGTGTATTAATCCGCCGCTGTAAATAGTCCCCATCGTATGCACTGCTAGGTTCCATCTGAGAGATAGATGTGGGCTCGTTTCATGGGATTTTCTGACACTAAGAATAGAACAGTGTGGTTTGGGATGATCAGAAAGATGCCCGCAGTGAATGCAGGTCTGAGTGTGACATTGGACCAGTAAGTTAAAAAAGGAAAAGACCCTTTGAGGTCTTAAAACATGAATTAGTCAAATAAGGGCTTCAAGAAAATGACACTATGGCTCCAAAATATAATAATCAGGGTAATAATATTGTGTCAGAAACTTTTGAAGCAATATTTCTCACTGCTCACCTTTGAAACATAAAACACAGCACAAATGACATGATAAATTGGTAGATTGCAATATATTAAGTGTTATTTATTTGATATAGTTTTATTGTTATTCAGGGCTATAATAACATCCATATCATTTACCTACATCACATTAGGCTACAATTTTTAGCTTAGAGGGACCTTTAAGTTTCCTTCAAATTTAGGTGCACAATCCTATTTCATACGTTTATTTATAGCTAATCTAGAGGATTTGTGAATGGATTATCAGCGTGGTTTAACGTTTAATTTACCAAATAGAAAGCAACGACATCCCTGAATTTAACTTACAACTGAAGGCCCTTTATAGAAGGACTGGCTTTTTTGTTGTTGCTCATTTGTACCCGTAAAACAATCCTTGAAGCATATATATAATCCAATAATATATAACACTCCATTTATATATATATGTGAATTATCCTCCTGTAATCGTATCCAAATGGATTAACACTGTCATTAATAAGGCTTTAATTAAGAAAGAGCTGAATTGATGAGATAAATTGAAAATACCAGCAGACTTAGATGATGATTCTAGATTATAATATTGTTTTCGACTGTCCATCCCTTCCTCCCTGATGAGGAGGGAGCCCCTGAAATAAAAAACACCTCCCTTCACCCCAGTCTGGTCACATGATGTTATGACTTTTGCTGGAATCCTTCACAACAACAACATCAGCAGCAGCAACAACAACCGGATTTACTAGAATCTGCTTATCGGACGTTCTTAGCTGAGCTAACAGAGAAAAACACAATTTGGGATTAACTGATCTCTTCTTCCTCATGTAAAGAGCTTCGACTATGATGATTTTATTTTAAGCCAAACTCATTTTGATAAAATGTAGTTTTGTCTTCAACCCCAATTAAATCAATTGTTAAATTCACATGGAGACAAAGACTTTGAGGTTGTGATTGGATGTTAGCACCTCGTCAGCTTCAGGGTCAGATGAGTCTGAATTGGTGAAGCTTCATTTATTTTGTCCTTTGCTTTCTCACTTAATTTGATTTTATATTTTCTCATTCATGCAGTGGAATAATTTAGGGTTTGTTAAATCAGTTGCATCGGAATAGATTTAGTCTCGACCTATTTTGGCTTCATGTGTTAAAATACTTTGTTTAGTTATATTAACATGGAAGTGAACTGTTGTTTGTGGCATGATCATCACATGTTATATATTTGACCTCTATATTTGATACCCCCCTCCATTTCTCTACATCACTCCATCCAAGGTCAGTCATTCAAATCCAAACAACTAAATGAACCATTCATTGTAACATTACATTACATCTCATTTAGTTGATGCTTCTATCCAAAGCAATTTACAATTAATGCACTCAACATCTATGAGGGGCAATTTTTTGGGGGGGGGGTTCAGCATCTTTCCCAAGGACACTTCGGCATGGGCTGATTCAAGCTCCTGACCTTCAGGTTGGAGGACAACATCTCTATTAC